AGATGCGAGGCAGTATCAAATGAGATTAGAAAAAGATTAGGTAAAACATGCACATATGAAATTGGAGAAATCTTAATATGCAGACTTTACAAAAAGGACAAGGAAGGAAAACTGAATGTTAATATTAGGTGGAAGGTTGTTAATAACGAAGGATACAAGATAACAATACAAGATATTAAGGATGCAGAGAACATTAGAACACTTGACATTGATATTGTAGATAAGCATTTTAGATATGCCTACTGTGCTACCACTCATAGCAGACAGGGGACATCAATCAGTGATAATATGACCATTCACGAATGGAACAAAGATTATTTAGTTTGTAGGGAATGGTTGTGGTGCAGTATCACTCGGTGCCGTGATTTTAACAATGTCTATTTCTTCAAAAACAAGGAATGCGAAGAAGATATGTTCAAGAGTTTGGTAATCAACTATTTTAAAAACAAAGTTGAAGGATATAAACAGCAAGATAGAGTAGCAAAAAGAGAAATAGACGAAGAGCAATACATTGACGAAAACTGGTGCTTAAAATACTTCAAATCCTGTTGCCAAAACTGCGGAATTAAATTTAATCTAGATACAAGAGGAGGAAAAATAAGTTCTAACTTCACTGCTCAACGTTGTGATAATGAGTTATGCCACACAGTTGAAAACTGCACTGCCTTTTGTGTCTATTGCAATTGCAGTGCGTCATGAATAATTTTGAAAATGAGTTTTTCAAAATTATTTTATTAACTTAATTAATGAGTTCAACACAAGAAATTATTAAGAGTGTATATTATGATAGAAGCGGTTATGGTTCAAAACAAACAACCCTCAAGGATGCTAAGCAAAAAGATAGTAGTATTACAATAAACGATATTAATGAATTCTTTAGTAAGAATGTAGAAGAAAAAAGAAAGATGAGAGGTGAAAATAGTTTATTGCTCCGCATAGTTTCTGGGAATTTCAAGTTGATATGTTTTTCATTTCTAAAAATGATTTGGAAAATCAAACATTTAAAATTGGTATGATATGCATTGATATATTTAGCAAATATATGCATATCGTGCCTATCAAGTCAAAGCAACCGCCAGACATTTTAGCAGGAATGATGGAGAATATCAATAAGATGGGTGGCAAACCGAAATTAATTTATACCGACGAGGAAGGCAGTTTTTTTAATCAATCAGTATTAGATTATTTGAAGGAGGAGAAAATTGAATTACATAGAACTAGAGGTCATCCAGCATTTGCGGAGCGTGGAATTCAGACTTTTAAAGATCAACTGTTTAAACGAGTTGAAGCGGACAAGAAAAATGGAAAGCAGAATATCCAATGGACGGATTATATTTTTGAAATATTATTAACTTACAATAATAAGATGGTGCATTCCGCAACTAAATTTACACCGAAGGACGCAAGAATGAAAAAGAATGAATTTGAAGTAAAAATGAATATTACAATGCAAGCAAGAAATACTAGAAAATACCCTGAGTTGTCAGTGGGTAGTAATGTAAAAATAATGAGAAAGAAAGGCATAAGCGAAAAGGCACATACCAGTCATTGGTTAAAAGAAGTATTTAAAGTAAAATCAATTGATAGTAAATTAGGACAATCTTACTTTCATTTGGAAGGAAAAACTAGTCCTTATTTGAGACACGAATTATTGAAAGTTTAATATTAAACGAAATACAGTTACAGAAAAAACGCCTTATAATATTAGTGAAATGTTATTTAATTATTCAAATTGCGAATGTTGTACAACTAAAAGGAATGATGTTAATATAACATTGTATAAGTTATTACCTGCTAATCTATGTAATAAAATAAGTGAATATAATGTATACTGCAATCAATGCTGTATAACAAGAGACCTTGAAAAGTTTTTCTTGAAGAACATAAGGATAAGGGATATACAAAGTTTCAATTACAGTTAAAATTCTTTATGCGACACCAAGCAAGATTTCCTATACACTTTTACCAGAAGATTTCCAGAAAGTCATATGAAAATGAAATTGATGAATTCTTTAGTAATATAGATTTAATTAGGAGGTTTGGAGGAATAAACGCAATTAAACCATACAAAGCATTTGTCAAAAAATACCGTTATTTGTTTGAATGGATTGACTGGCATTTATTAGACAAAGATAAAATAAACGAAGTCTTGAACGAATTTAGAGCAACTAAATATAGTATATGGTATTACTACAACACTAAATATAAAGTATGTCTATTGTTGTATTTATTCTTTTGGGAATATATTTATTCAATAATAGGAAAAAACAATATCAAATATATATACATTGGTGATATAGATAAATATGTAGATTACATATTTGAAGACATATTGCCTGACCATTATTTTAATCCATAAACCTTACAATAAAAAAACATTGTAAGATTTATGATTTCAAAATGACTTGAAGAAATAATAACTTAATATATTATAGTAAAATGAGTGATACAGTCGGTATCAATGCTAAAAATATATTGAAAGACAAATTTATGAGTTATAAATGCGATGACTGCGAAATGCTAAAATTACCAATTGAACGCGGTTTTGCAAATGGCGTTTGTAATAATATTTGTCAATATATAAAAAATGCAATAATTGCAATAGAATTATAAAAAAATGATGATATGAATAACAAGGATATTGATATTATAAATAATGAAACTATTGATGATGATTTAGAAATATTTGTATTTATTGAAATGAATAATTTCTTAACTATAGAAGGATTTGATAATTTATTAGAATGTAACGACGAAGGATATAATAATGATTTTATTTTTAAGTATTATAGTATTGTAAAACAATTATACAATATGTCTTTTAATATTAAACGTTTAAAATATGTTGTATTGTTTGATTTTTAAATGAGTTTTTAAATGATGAGTATAAAACTCACGAACTTAGATATACAATAAAACGTGCGATTGGAATAATGGGAATGTTTAGAAAACAAATAAACAATAATTTTTATAATGAAACAACATGTGACAAAATAATAGAAAGAATTAAATTAATAATTTAGTTTTAGGCGAAATAGTCCTAAAGAAAAAACACCTTATATTAATAGTGAAGAAATGAACGGTATTGAAATCAATAAGTATATTAATAAGAAATGCTACGACTGTTGCCACTTTAAAAAGGAAAATATGGAATTGTATAAATTAAATTTACCTAATGGAATAATAAATAATATTATTGATTATGCTTTAGACGAAGACACATGTAAAATTTGTAAACATTGGAGGTTTTATCAAGAATTAATCAAATGTAATTTAAACGATAAAAGGTGTCTTAAAACAAATGTTGAAGACGACATTATAATATTTGTAACTGTGTATGAAAGACCATCATATAGTTATGTTAGAGCATTTCTTAAAATCAGTAAGAAAAAGTATGAACTGATTAACCACATTTTATGGATATTGGTATATCGTAGAAGAAGAGAAGGAGAAGATGTAAAAGAAGACATTAAATCAGAAATTGAAAGCAAAAAGTTTAATGTCAAAAATACAGTGAGAGATATTAATATTATTTTAAAAATGATGCATGAAAGAAGTAAGATATATACACAACTTAATAGTCATCAATTAAATTATTATCCTGAACTGAAATTATAAATTGCACCATAAACCTTACAATTTAAGTTTATTGTAAGATTTATGTTTTGAGATTCTGTGATTTGTTATTAAAAATAATGTTAATTCATAATTTAGTTTTAGGCGAAATAGTCCTAAAGAAAAAACACCCCATATTAATAGTGAAGAAATGAACGGTATTGAAATCAATAAGTATATTAATAAGAAATGCTATGATTGTTGCCACTTTAAAAAGGAAAATATGGAATTGTATAAATTAAATTTACCTAATGGAATAATAAATAATATTATTGATTATTCAATGGGTGAAGAAGATGTATGTGAAAATTGTAAAACCTGGAGAGATAACCAAGCTATAATCAAATGTTTGTTGAGATTAAAAGGAAGACATAGTAGAAATGTAGAAGATGACATTTTGATATTTTTAACTGTGTATAAATTACCACCTTACGTTTATGTTAAACAGTTTCTTAAAATCAGTAAGAAAAAATATGAAATGATTTATGATATATTAAGGATGTTATGTCATAGTCAAAAGAAAGGAGATGATATCAAAGAATATATCAAATATTATATTGAAATTTATATAAAGTTTAATGTTAAAAACACAGTGAGAGATATTAGTATTATTTTTAAAATGATGTATGAAATAAATGAGATTTGTCAATTAAATTATTATCCTGAACTGAAATTATAAATTACACCATAAACCTTACAATAAAAACATTGTAAGATTTATGTTTTGAAATTATGGGGATTTTGGGATTTGGGATTTTGGAAAAATATATTTTGGGAATTTAGAAAAATATTTACAAAATTTATGCATCAAATCTTGAGTTGAGGTTCTGTTATGAAATGATGAACACATATTATGTGAATTGGTCGGTTGAGGGGATTTTATATTTTGGGATTTTGGAAAAATATATTTTGGGAATTTGGGATTTTGGAAAAATATATTTTTGAAAATTTAGAAAAATATTTGTAAAATTTATGTATCAAATCTTGAGTTGAGGTTCTGTTATGAAATGATGAAAAAATATTATGTGAATTGGTCGGTTGAGGGGATTGTATCCAACTGGGGGGTCCTCTTGGGTAGGTGTATTGTGGATGGGTCCAAAACTGGTGGTTTGGATTTGGACTTGACCCTCTGGTGGAAAACGGCCACCCCAACGTGTGGGTATTCTTTTGTGTGTTTTCTTGAAGCCTCACCTGAAAAAGGAGTGATTTCCTGAGAAAAGAAACACACACACACACACATTGGACATGTCGGCTTGGTGTCCCCTTGTGGTCTTGAAAGGGAAACCAATCATGTTAGGGGTCCCTATTTTCAGAAAAACAGCCAGGTTGTAGCCTTGCCATGGGGTAAGACGGGGCATTCAAAGATGTCGACTCATGGTTTCGAGGCTGCTCGGGGTGGTGGTCGCCGGGGAGCGCCTGCCGATCTGCGAGGAGGGCGGCTGCGCCACCCGGCTAGCATACCTTGGCTGGGCTTTCGGCGGGCTCGGTGTTGCTTGTTGGGTTTTGGTTTGGCTGGGGTTGGTTGGGTTTGGGTTGGTTTTGAGATTGATGATGGCCTTTGAGAAATGTAGTCATGACTGACCAATCTACAGGGAGAGCGGTCTCTGCCTGCTCGCGACATGCTTTCTGGGTAGGGAAGCACTTGACATCAAGCGTCCTTGTCACCTGTTTCCCCTTTGTGGTTGGAAGACTGAAATTGGAGGCTGCTTTTCACCCCAAATGCTTGCCCTTTTGACAGACATTGGGGTCTTCACCCCTCCATAGATGCTAACCACTCGATTTGGATTCCGGACCGATCGGAAGGTGGCGATCGCCGACACGGGCACCTCTCTGCTTGGCGCCCCACGGGCAGTCACGCAGCGCATGCACTGGCTGCTGGCACGGAAGGCGGGGGACAGAAAGGTGAGGGGCTTGGCTTTTGAGTGGCTCAGCTTCTTTTCACACCACTTTTCCCCAGCCCCCTTTCGATTGATTCGAATCCATGTGGCTATTTGAGTTGGCACCCTTTTCGGGGTTGGTTGAAAAGTAAGACCGAGAAGGCCACCACCGTTTGGGGCGTTCGCAAAAAGTGGCGAGCCACCCGTAAAACAGCGAAATGAGTGCAACAGAGCATTTCTGACAAACATGATCAAGCAGGATGCTATGATAGAATTGACCATCGCCAACAGAATGGTTACAATCGATGGTGCCGCGAGGTGCCGGAGAACCCAGCGGAGATCGACTGCCGCACCTTCCCCGGCCCGGACGGGAAATGGATAGATTCGACGGATTCGAATCCATGCCATTGGATTCGTCAAAGTGTCGATGTGGCAGGACCCCCCCCAAAAAATGGATTCCGGCTGTCCTTTGAGGTTTTGCTTGAAACTAAATTCCCCCCAAGAGTAGCCTTCCAAACAAGGACGAGCCATGCAGGGATCATTGGCAACTTTCTTTGTTTCTTACCAATTCTCGCATGGAGCCTGGTGGACGTGGCCTCCGCGTCTTTGCAACCTGAGTGGAGCCGCGACGGGATGGCTCTCTTTTCTAAGCTCAAGATGAAGTTTTCTGCTGCCTGACCCGCGCTTGGGATTTCTTTTGGAACTGCCTGGTGCATTGAATTTCTGGCTTGAGCGTGCTGGCGCTGGCTGGGCTGCTGGGCTGCTGGGCTGCAGGGCTGGCCGGGGCTGGGGACGCTGCGAACCGTGTTCGATGCAGGGGCGCCGATGGCGATTTCGAGGCCTCCGGGAGTCCTGCGCCATGTTGCCCGATGCCATTTCGATGCCATCTCGATGCCTCCGGCGAAACCTTGGCCGTGCACGCCGTGCACGTGCTGGTTTTGGCCTCATGTCAACATCTTGCAGTTGCCTCAAGACGCCGGGCGCTTGTGCCGGCGGCTTTTCAGCGTCTCGTTTTCAGGAGCTGGTCTTCGAGTTGGAGGGCGGGGTCAATGTGACCATCGGGGCGGAGGCGCGTTCGTGCGAGTTGCCGCGCCTCTTCCTGAGCTGGATGAGAGGACTACTCCCGTGCGACTGGCATGCGGGTGCTGAACAACAAGACCAACTCCTCTCAGGCCCGCGCAGACTTGCCAGAAGGACAGAGCGGACAGAGCGCCTGTGGAATTCAGATTCCGCCATTTGAATGATCTGAGCAGAAAACTTTGCGAGCAACTCATAGGAACATCGACTTGATGTGACCAGAAAAGGATCGTCAGATACAATTCTGTCTTGGCAAACCATTGTGCAAAGCAAAAAGCACGACCCGCTTTGGACTTCTTGAGGCAACGAACACAGCAATCTCATTTTCTTCTATTAAACCACCCATATATATATATATATGTATGTATGTACATATTTATATTTTACCTTTTCTTATGCACAACTTCAATGAAATGCTTTCCTCTAGCTTTCACACCATTGTCTGCTCGCGCCAGCTGATCTGCCGGGCCTCTCTGCTGCCTGTGGACGACGGCGAGGTGCTGGGCCCAAAGGCAGATCGCGTCTTCCGGTGTCCATGGGGCCGGGGCAAAGGGAAAACCGGAAACCACCAAATTGGCCCGATTCTGGGGGTCCAAAGCGAAACGAGGGGTCTAGCTGATTCTTTTCTTTCTTTTTGGTATGATTGGGAGGAACTGGCCGAGAGAGTGGCGCGTTACGAGAGTTCCGGAGGCTTTCATCCTGGGGGAACCCGCACTGCGGAAGTACTACACGGCCTACGACTGGTGTCTTGGGTGGCACCCATCCAAAAGAAACTGGCTCGTTGCAACAAGCTTATCGGGGGCCCTTGGGGTTGGCCTCGGCTGAGTTTCTTTTTGCCCCACACAATTTGTGCATCTTCTGGTTTCATTTAAACTTCAGTATGAACTAGGAGCTGGTTGTCCTTCCTTTGCTCCTTTCTCCAGCTGCCCACACGTGAACATGTGAGAGGCGAGCAAAATAATCCCAGATCTGTCAGTTTCCGGGCTGAGGAAGCGTCAGCGCATCGGCTTTGGCCTTTCGGCGCTGGTCTTAGACTTGGAGCAACCGAGACGCCGCAAGACGTGGCTTGGGTGAGGATATCGCATGGAGTCCGTGTTTTGATCACTCCCCAGATCCAGCCCAAGCCAGAAGATTTTGATGGTGTGGAGCCCGTGCACACCATCTACGGTGCTGGGGCCTGAGATCTCCGCTTGCTGTTGTGGTGGTTGGTGTGGATTTGGGTGTCGTTGCGGTTGGGGGATGCGGTTGCGGTTGCGGTTGCGGTTGCGGTTGCGGTTGCGGTTGTGGTTGTGGTTGTGGTTGTGGTTGTCGTTGTGGTTGGGGGGTGGGGTTGCGGTTGCGGTTGCGGTTGCGGTTGCGGTTGCGGTTGCGGTTGCGGTTGCGGTTGCGGTTGCGGTTGCGGTTGCGGTTGCGGTTGCGGTTGCGGTTGCGGTTGCGGTTGCGGTTGCGGTTGCGGTTGAGGTTGCGGTTGCGGTTGCGGTTGCGGTTGCGGTTGCGGTTGCGGTTGCGGTTGCGGT